GATCATGAAGCACCCCTACGACGACCTGGGGGGCGGCGCCAACGCGGTGGCCGGGGGGTACTCGCTCGGGGCGGCCCTTGGCGCCGAGACCTTGGGCACCTTCGTCCTCGCCTACGCCGTCTTCTCCGCCACCGACCCCAAGCGCACCGCCCGCGACGCCTTCGTCCCCGTACCAGACGCCTTCTCCTCTCACTCTCAGCTAGCTAGCTCGTGGTGATCGCCGCCGGACCTGTACATATATGATGATTTGTCGTCAATTAATTGCAGCTGGTGGCGGTGTTCGTGGTGCACCTGGCGACCATCCCGATCACCGGCACGGGCATCAACCCGGCGAGGAGCCTGGGTGCCGCCGTCCTGTACAACCAGCACAAAACCTGGAAGCAACACGTACGTGGTGGGACCCATGCACTGCACTACTACTCCGTCTGTTTCTTTTTAGTTTGCATATAAAATTTGGTCAAAGTCAAATTTTATAAAATTTGACTAACTTTATAAGAGAAAAGATCAACAATCACAATATGAAATCAATATTGTTAGATGCATCATGGAATGAATTTTCATACCATACAGCGTTAGTATCATAGATGTTGGTATTTTTTATATAAATTTAGTTAAACTTTGTGTAATTTGACTTTGACCAAATCTTATATGCATAATAAAAACAAGAAGGGAATACATTGTTGTCGCCATTCATTGCTTTTCTTGGAATGAATGAGAAGTGTTCCGTTGATGATCTGTATGCAGTGGATCTTCTGGGTCGGGCCTTTCACCGGCGCGGCCTTGGCGGCGTTCTACCACAAGATCGTGCTGCGCGACGGGGCTGTGGTGAAGGAGTCGCTGGCGATGGGCTCGTTCAAGAGGAATAGCTCCACCGCTTGAAGATTGATCGAGGAGAGGAGACCATGCATGCACATGCCTATATAGTACTATTGTTTCGTCGCTACAAGTGGGTCCCATGCCATGCCGGTGTCACTTCAGCCATATACGGTGCCACGTCGGCACATTTTACGTCTACGAATGAGATTAGCACCATATTTGCACGTTCATGTGCCAAGTTTTAGAATCAGTTTGACATATTTTTCAAATTCAGATACTAACGTGAATATTTATGACAAGTTCAAGCATCACTGATGTATTTACCTTTTTTTCATCCGTATAATGAGAATAAAAGAGTTGTTGGTTGGTCCCTTTTTACTACCTCTGTCGGCCCTGTAATGTACGGAATCTTGCTATAGTACCGTTGGTTAATTAAGCGTGTCTTGATGTGTGTTAGTTGTTAATAAGCGGGATCACTAGTGCAGAATGCAAACAGTTTGAAACTTCTTTCCACAGTTTTGAACCGCGGTCTTGTGTGAAGGTGTGTGATAGGGGATCTACCGTACAAGACGCGATTGCTCCTCAAATCACACACGAAAACACTAAAGTGCACGTGTGTGATCGGGAGAGCTATCCGGAACAAGCCGTATGAGATGTGCTAACCATCCCACAGAATTTGCTTAAGGAAAATGTTTGCATTGGTACGCTATATCATACACGACGCGGCCTAAAAAAGCTTGTGCGATAGGGCTATCCATCATCCACGCTTTTCAAACATTCGCGGCTGGCAACATATCGCAAACAGTTATCTAGGAGACTAGGACGACATCACGATCTGCAAAATCCCCCAGATTCCCCTCCCTATAGATTTTTTTAGCGTGTAACAAGGGCATTTCCGAGAGATATCTGGACGGTGAGATGTAAAGTTAATCAACGGAGAAAAAATGGTGAAACGATAGAGAATTCAGACATTTCATGTAAAGCGGTTTCGAGAGATATCTGGACTGTGAGATGCAATGTTAATCAACGGAAAAACACTGAGGGTTTTGATAAATTGATTTTCTGACATGAGGCATTGCCCTGCGAAATATAAACCGCCGTGATGGCACTTTTTTAGAATAAAATGCATTTAAAAATCATCATCATACTATATTTTATAATTCTAATTTCCAAACTAGTCACAATATTTTGTGGAAGCATTATTCTCGTAAGCAGTTGCTAACAAGAAAGAAATCACAGACTAAATCCATGGGACCCATGCACCCATTATTCACGGAAAACAGTTAGTATCAGGAAACAAATCACAACTGAGTACTCTTTTCTTTTTAGTCTGCATATAAAATTCAGTTTTACTAAAGCACATCTAGATGTGCCCTAATTATTGGGCATCTAAATCTCATGTCGTTTGATTTTACGTTTAGATTCGTGTAAACATTTTCTTTCCTCTTTTTTCTTTTCTTCCTAATTTGATTGAGCCACTTAGATATGCAATAATTAGAGCACATCTAGATGTGCCAGACACACCTATAAAATTTAGTCAAAGTCAAACTATGTAAGATTTGACCAAATTTATATCAAAAGATATCAACACCTACAATGCTAAGGCTATATGCTATGAAAATTAATTTCATGATGCATCTAATAATATTGGTTTTATATTGTGAATGTCGATATTTTTTCTATAATGTTAGTCAAAGTTTACAAAGTTTGACTTTGACCAAATCTTATATGCAGACAAAAAAACAAAAGAAGTATTAACTACCACGATACCCACACGCTAGGATCGCAGGAAGGTTTTAGTCCTATGGCTATTGACTGGTCATTTTATCAGACCAGTCAATAGCCATAGGGTAGAGGTGATCGAAGACGACATTGCCAATTTTTTTCCTGAGAGGGACTCATTCATCACATTCAGTGCTGTCTTAACTTCAAGTTTTAACTCATGGGAGAAACCTTTGCTGGAAAAGAACTGAGGATTTTGATAAATTGATTTTGTGACCTGAGGCATTCCTTTGAAATACTAGTAAGTTTGCACGTGTAACGCACGCCTTGACTAATGCTCTTTTCTAAGATACATCTATTCCCAATCAAAACACTTTGTCTGTAGTTATAGTTCTTAACGGCAGTGTAAGAAAATGACAACAATGAAAAACAACCAAGCTAACAATTCATATGACATGGTAACATACTTTCCAGCTCAAAGTCAACATGGTTTGGGCCAAATGAAAATGCAAACCTCTTGTAGTAATCTCCGCCGCCCTTTTTTTTGCGAGCATAATTGCTGGTCACTTGATTTGCATAGTTTTCTTTGGCATCCAGGATCTAAGAAGAACCCTTCAAGGTTTCCTAGAAGTGTCTCACTGTGAGAGGAAAAAACATGAGGTTAAACCTCAGTACGAACAATAGAAACTACTGGCTTCGAGCTTACCCTACTAACTTGATGCCTCATGTTCATAGCTGCTTCATGTGTCCTATTTATCCTATGCACCCTGTTTGCGCAAGGTGATTAGAGTTTCTGTAGCATCTTCCTTGATGGTTTCAGCAAGCCAAAGGTTCACTTTCTGAGTGATGAACTCCACATGTATTCATAATTAATTGGAGCAGTAGAAAACTGAAAACCTGGAACTATGAAATATCGGTGGATGAAATTTATGGAAGCACAAAAATGCAGGAAATTTAAATATACCTATATATTCTGATTTTTAGGACATTCAAAAGAGTGATTTTAATATGAGAAAAAAATATTGGATGTCGGTCAATGTGCTACATATCTGAATGGTTTTCTAATCAAACTTAATTACATATATGGCACACGAAATGATAAACGCCTGGCCGTAACAGTCAAAACTCATTACCCTGTTTTAATAAAAAAATAACACTTCACAAGAACAATTTAGCTAGATGCATAGTTATTTTTTTTTTGAGATAGTTAGATCATTTCATTGTGAAATAGAATTATTTAAACGACATGTCTGTTTGTTCCCTGACTGCTTACCTCCAAAATATATAACAGTCATGAATATTAAACACTTGCATATGAGCTTTGATAAGTCAAGCACATGTACACCAATGAAAATTATGTTTTTTATTGTCTTATAAATGATAAATGTGTTGCACAGTTGGAATGGAGACATGCAGCTTCATCCCCATAAAGGTTAGAAGCTTCATTGCAGAAGTCATTCTGCCGCAAACATTCAGAACAAATCAGTATAAGGACATGCATAAGCAAATTAAAGAAAAATGACATATTAGGATTGCACCAATTTGTCTTGCTCAGATGGCTTACCAGCGAAACCTCTGTCATTGATTATTTTATTGCAACATCATCAGTGGCGGAGCTAGGAAAAAGTATTAAGGGGAGCCAAGTGTTGCTTATCCTTGGCAGGGAGGGCCAGCCCACTAAAATACATCATTTTCACTGTACATAACCACTTGTTTATATGTATATTAGGCTTAAATCAATTTTGTTAGGGGGGGCCAGGGCCCCTGCTGGTCCCCCCTGTCTCCGCCACTGAACATCATAGCTGACTTCATGGAGCTCTTCAGGTCATCTTTTTTTTTTTCTAATCTGAAACATGAACACATGGGTGATTAAAAACATTACTTTACATTCAATATGCGCATGATCCTAAATACAAGAGTTTCTGATTGTAACCTGAAGGTGTCCAAGCGCATTTGTGATTTGTAACCCTGAAATTTGAATCTAGTGGTTTGCCATTGATAACCTGCGCATTCTCTTGTTAAGTTGGTAATCACTAAAGCTGACTTGAAACAGAACATATATGAACTTCTAAGCAATCACATCCTAACCTCCTGTTTTGAGCTTGCCAATCCTGATTAGTGACATTCCCAAGCCCTTCATTTAGCAGAAGACTTACTTATTACCTTTCTTCTTATGTCGTCTAGATGTTGGACTTCAGTGGCTAGTAAATTATCCAGAACACGGGTAGTCAGTGGTCATGCTCCTACGCTAGTAAAAAATCAGCCCATACTTAGTTGAGATATAAACCGCCATTATGGCATTAAATATTTTTGGTGGGCCTTTTCACCGTCTGAGCCCAGTTTGGAAGCCCGCGTATCGTGTATGGATGTGGAGCCCTACCCTACCACCATATGCGCAACTTTGCATAAAAAAAAAGAACATACCGCAACTGCGACCAGCACGAATCGCAACCGCGAGTAAAATGGAGGGGCGCCCCCGCGGCGGCGGCGGCGGCGGGCGGACGGCGATGGACTACTCGCTGGCGGCGCTGAAGCTGCTGGCCTCGCAGCTGGAGGGCTCCACCACGGCCCCCTCCTCCGAGGGCTCCTCCCCCGCGCAGATGCTCTTCGGCATCCGCTTCCAGCGCGCCTGGATCCAGGTCCCCGACCCCGAGCCCGACCCATCCCATCTTCTCCCCACCATTCCCCGTTCCTCTGCTCGGAGCCCTGACGACTTGCAGCGGCAGGCAGGGCGTGATCCTGCGCGTGGACTACAGCGCCGGCGACAACGGGAGGCTGTTCGTGGATGACGGCTCCTGCGTCACCGAGTTCATGCTCCGATCCGAGGATGCCAAGGGCCAGCCCTGGCGCCCAGGTTCTCCCAACCTTCTTCGATCCCCTCTGCTTATGCTCCGTTTCTTAGATATGTTGTTTCTGAAGATCAACTTTGCCTGTGCGACATAATCAAATTGCACGTGTTGTTTTGCTGCTCTAGTGCTGTTGATGCGAAACTGCTTGCAAAAATAAGTGTGGAAAACCTAGAAATTACCACAAGACAAGATGCCCCATGAGTTAAATTAATTATCAGACCTGGCAAAGTGGTACATACACTAGTATTTTTATTGTTTGCATTTTGCAATGCTTTTACTCTCTTCGTGCTCTGCTTCTTTTTCAGGCTAGTTCATGTTTTATTTACTGATGTCCCTATTTTATGCTGTAGGGATGTATGTGCTGATTATTGGGGCATATATTGCACCCGACTCTACGGAAAATCTGCCAGCGGTCAAGGTTCCATCCCCCTCCCTTGCACTCTTTGTCCATCCTTGTCTGCTTACATTCATATCATATTTGTATCCATATACTGAATTTTTGAGGTTTTCTGTTGGTGCTTTCTATATTGTTTGAGGCGAAGTTCAGTTTTGAAACCATTTGAATACTTGAGCCAACACCTGGAGTTTCAGGCTGCCTGACTAATGATTATGCAAATAGAAAGAATAATAGTAATGTCTGCTCGTAGTACACTACTAGTACTCATGTACAGTCTAGTAGTCTCACTCGTGGGAGTGGACGAGGTGTTCATCCTTTGAACTTCAACAGCACTCATGATTTTGGGCCAAAAATTACAGTTTTTGTCTTAAGTGCAAATTTCAGCAGTTGTTTACTGTTTGTATTCTCAATGCTTGCCACTCCTAAGATTTCACAGAGAAGCCGTTATATCTTGCATCATGGTGCATGCTGTCAGATACATCTCTTACCTCCTGGATTTGATCGTTGCAGGTGCACAAGATAGTGGATCTCTCGGCGCAGCCGGACCGTGAAGCGATGTGGTACATGGAAGTCGCCGAGGCTTACAACTTCTTCTACGAGGCCGATGCCTCTGGTGTCGGCTCACCGTCATGAGCACTCTTAACACCTTGCCCCCTCCTGATGGTTCGTGTCACTGTAGCACTCGTAGCACTGCTGCCACTCTGTACCCGTGCTCGTTACCTTGTTCTAGGCCGCCCGCTGGTAACTCAGAGAGGCCCTTTTGGTGCTGCGAATTGTTTCAGGGTTATCTCGGATGAACGTTGGAGCACGTCCAAATTCCAACAGCGAGAAAATTGACTGGAATCTCCCAACATTTCATGCGACTGATTCTTGATGTCTCTTGCAGTCTCGTGTTGGGCCGCCGCTAGTGGTTCTGTTGATGACTTAATGTTTCTTGCATCAGGATTCGCTTGGGTTGCATCAATTTTGTGAACCCGTTATGGTTTGAGTTCACTACACTTATGAGATCAGTAATTTTGGAAATGAAACCTAGTATCAAATCGGGCGTCCCCGGAAACATTCTTTTTGTCAGACCCAATCGTTTTATTAATATTTAGGAAACATTTTTGTTGTCAGACTCTTGCAAAACCATTTTGATTAATAAATTTTGACGGAAAGTCTGAAACAAACAAAAAAAATTAGCAACTGGCAGAAGCTCTGCCTTTTTTCATATAAGAAGAAGAAGAAGATAATTGACTAGTTTATATAAGGAAAATTGGCCAAAAACCAATACATGCCCACACACATGCCAGCTCCGAGGCTGCGCCCCAAGTGAGCCGACTACTCTGCCGTCCAAGCAATTAGAGATGACACCCTATCAAATGACCTGGGGCCGCCGCTCCGGTTTACAAACCTTAAGAACACACACGCCGCCCTCGATGTTGCGTACCGGACGAGCTGATGATTTGTCACCCAGGTAACTAGAGTCAACACCCTACAACACGACGATGGAGCCACCCCTTCGTCTTCCACACTGACCACGAGGTCGCATGTCTAATAGAAGACCATACCTCTAAGGTGACAGTACCAAAAACTATCAGTGTCCTCGGTAGGGTGGAGAGCATCGTCGGATGTACCAGAAGGGGTCACACACGAGTATTTTTTACCTAGGATCGGGCTATCATGGTTTGAGGTAACCCCCTACTTTTGCTTTGCTTTTTGATTAATGGTGAAAATGCCTCGTGTGAGGGGGGTTACAGATTAGATGTGGTAATAGCTACCAAGGTGTTGATGATAAATCAGATGATCCTCGATACATTGAGCGGCAGGGTTTACAGATTTCCTAACCGGCCCCGACCCAGAATCGACCGAGGGATCCTTGGCTTGCACGCCAAGATGATGACTATCCGAAAGTCGGGCTTTCGGTCGAATGAAGGACCTAGCCTGTAGACAGGTCTCCTGGGCCCCAAACCCGTCCCGTTGACGGGCCTCTTGGCCTATGGGCCACCCCCGGTATAATGTACCATCAATAGCCCCCGAGCTTGTCCGTAGTTTTGGAATCAGTCCTCCTTGAAAACAAAATAAAGGTGGGCTCCTCTCATGTTATATGATTGGATCAACCCAACTTCTGTCGTCTACCTTCAATAGTGTCACTTGGAAAATTTTTAACAGTTACTTCACACAAGACTTGTGACACCCTGTGTGTGAACGAAACGCCACAATCAATATTCTCCGCCTACTCTTTGTTGGGACGATAACTATTGGGATATTTACACGAAGGTGCTACACAACCTTGTGTGTCTTGTAGGCCATCGGAGAGGAACCCCTCCCCTATTTGATGACCTATAAGGGGAGGACAGATTCCTCCCCAATTAGGATCCCCCCCCCCCCCATTTCCTACTTGGGGGCACCTTATGCCTTGTGGCCCACCAGGGGCTGTCATCTTGGGTTGTGTAGTTTTTCGGAGTTTTTCAAAAGTTTTGAGACCCATTCGGAACCTTTTGAAATTCTCATATCTAGACCTGAAACTTTTTCAGACATATCTACATTTTTGGAATTACCAAAACCCTTCTGGGACAATCTGGATCCATCTGAAACACTTCCAGTGCTCATTCTCTTATTCCTCTACTAATCATAATTACTATCATTAAGCATGTGACCCTACATGTTTAAAAATAAGCAGATATGACTCGGAACATTTTCCGGTCAATAGTTAGCAGCAAGATATATCCCGCAAAAAAAATTAGCAGCAAGATATGATCACCGTTGTTAACTCTTGTATATTCACGAAGTTCTCGAATGAACCTTTTCTTCCTGAATACCATTCACGATACGTCATAAAAACCTGAGGTGAGATATTATTGGCATCCCCATGATCAACTCCTTAATCACTATACTGGTTATCCTCGTTACCGGCTTTGTTCTCTTTACTTATATTCGTATTCCAGTATCCATGTGATCTCTATCACATGTGTTTGGCCAGACGATGATGATACCACAATAATGAGTGGCCCTAGAGAGTCTCTTCATCGTCGGCGGAGAAAATCCCAGTCTTGACAACTAAGACATATTTTTCCGGCACACTAGGAAGTTATTTTTATTATCACCCAGTTACGACGTGACGTTTGGTAACCCAAAGTAACCATTTGGTATGTTGGTTTACGATATGGTCTAAGAAACTAAGTAGACATTAATACTTTATATGAAAATATTGACAACGTAATAACAATGCAACCGCTCAGTAATTCATAAAGAATCAGTGCAATTATAACACATAAATAAAAACTTAATTACAAATATGAAAATATCACAATAATATTTCATATTCATATTCATATTCGAGAAAACTTAATTGCAACATAATATTCATATTCGAGAAAACGCCTATATAAAATCTGATAAAATAAAAGCCACCTGGATAAGGCCACCATTTATTGTAGCCCTGGCTGAGGACAGAGATCAGGTGACATGCACGTTTGCATGTCACTGTATGCCTTGCAGCCGGAATTTATATTTAAACATTACGAAAAAATCTGAAAAAAATCATGCGTGTTCACAGCACATATTAAGATAACCCCTAAAAATTCAGATCAAAATTCGAAACATACATCAAGAAACAAAAAAGAGAAATCTGTCATGAATAGTTCGCGAATGGTTCTCTGTAGACTATTCACATCTGAGTTTCTCTTTTTTGTTTCTCGGTGTATGTTTCGAATTTTGATTTGAAATTTTTTAGGAATTATCTTAATATGTGCTGTGAACATGCATGATTTTTTTCAGATTTTTTTGCAATGTTTAAATTTGAATTCCAGCGGCAAGGCACACGGTCACCTGATCTCTGTCCCCTGGCTGAACGCCCCGAACACAAACGACGTGCACGCACATCAACAGTCTACTTCGCGGGCGCGTATACGGCCGATGGATTTCTCCGGCACCTTTCCCTCTCCGTCGCTCGCTGTCGCCGGAGAAGAAGGAGGATAGCTCGGCGACGGGACCACCAGCTGTCGACAAACCGTGAGCTCACCAACTCACCCCCCGCCGGCCAGTCGGTACGTACGGACGACAAAGGAGCAATCACCAGCCCCTGACCCGCCCGCGCCGTCGGATCGGGCGTCGGACGGCCCGGATCCCCCTCCGCGGAAGGCCGGACAGCCACCAGCCCAACCACTGGATAGCATTTCCCTCCCTCCCCCTTCCCGCCTCCCCCTCCCTCCTCCACCTCGCCATTGCCGTCGCCCTCCGAGCCAGCCCAAAAAAACACAGGGCGGGTGCGCTTCATGCCCCCGCGGAGCGCGCGCCCATGGCGTCCGTGCCCGCCTCCTGCCCGCGCCCGCCGCAGGCCGCCGTCCGCCGCCTCCTCCCGCTGCCGCTCCAGCTCCGGCTCGTCTGCCGCCTGCGGAGGCTGCCGCTCCCGCTGCTAGGCCTCTCCGCCGCCGCGCGGAGGGGGGAGGCGCTCCCGCGGGCCGCGGAGGGGGGCGACGGGCGGGCCGCGGCCAAGGAGAAGGAGGTGGATGAGGAGGACGAGGAGGAGGATGTGGGAGGGAGGGAGGCGGGCGAGGACGACGGGGCTCGGGAGGCGGAGGGCGCGGGGGCGGCGAGGGGCTCCGGGCGGTTCGCCGCCGACTACATCTCGCTTGGCATCAGGGAGCCCGTCTACGAGGTAGGTCCCCGGCCAACCCCGGCCGGCCAGAAATTGAATTGTTGCAATCACATTGCCATTGCCACATGAAAATCATCATCATCCACCAGGAATGCCCACCTCTGCTCTCAAACACAACCTCCAGGTCCCCTTCTTGCAAAATTGTTCTGAAGGTGTTTCAGACTGCAACTGTATCGGGGCAGTCTGTGAAAACAAGCATTCCATGCCTCTAGTCTAGAAGGAAATACAGTAATTTAGTCATCCTGAGTTTCTGACTACAAATATCTTTTTTCTTGAACACGCATCAAAAGCGTGTCATTGCGTGTTATGGCCAAAAATATGAAGGAGCAGTGTGTAATTTGTTCTCCTATAGTTCAAATCAAGAGTTGGTATGCTAGTTCGATGACATGTTTTCCGAAAGGGTGGGTGGGCTTGGGATGGGGTATGCACAATACAAGGTTTGGAGCTTACCATCATGCAAGATGCAAACTAACCCCCACCTCACCATCGAACTCTACTCAGGTGGTAGAAGTGAAAGCTAATGGAAGCGTGTCTACCGAAAAAATAAGCCGCCGGCAGCTACTGAAATCAAGTGGTATGTAAAATCAATGCGTTTCCAATGCTCTGTACCACAACACATTAACTTCATCATGTTCACCAATCATACTTGCTCGAACTCTCCATATGATTGCATAAACTCTATATACCACTACTACACATTACTTTGATTTTGGCTGGTTATAATTGTAAAATATTCTTGATACGGATGCTTAACATTCTTCTTTGTTGTTTTTAAGTGCTTGCACGCGATCTCATTTTACTCTTGTGCTGCCAGGCCTCCGTCTACGAGATACAAGAAGCGTTGACCCGTCACTATGGCTAATGAATTCAATGCCTTCCCTGCTGGTAACAGGAAACTTTCCAATATTTAACTATATAGGTCTCCCTCTGTTTGCTGTATTCTTGTCATCTGCATCTTTTCAGTTGTAAAAACAATAGATGCCGGGCGACAGAC